CACACACACACACACACACACACACACACACACACACACACACACACACACACACACACACTGTAATGTCTGTGTTGTGTTGCTGAACAGAGAAAAGCAGAGGAAAAACCTGCATGTTTTTAAAGAGTTGATGAAAGTCTGAGCTCAGCTTCTCTGCAGGTGTTATTACAGATGTGTAATAAAGCTGTTATAACTGCTTAATTACAGATGTGTAATAAGTCAAACTTATCGTCAGACCCCTGTCCTGGAGCCAGGACTTCTCTTCAGACCCCTGTCTTGGAGTCTGAGGATGTCTCTTAAAGTCCAGTCCCTGTCCTAGGTTCTGTTAAGTCTTGCCTCCTTCTCTTCCTGAATCCAGGGGGTATTTTGAGGACCCTGGCTTCAGCATGTGGTCCAAACAAATCTAGTTTCCAAGGGGGTTCTGCCAGACCTCTCTGTGTGAGCTTTAGCTGGTGTCTTAAGGACCTCAACAGATCCTGTCCTCCAGTCCAGAGGTCTTAATAAATCCTGTCTTTTTGTTTCTGRTTTTGTAGTTTGGAGACATCTGGATCAGTTCTGGAGGTTCTAGCTCATTGTTTTTCACTGTAGATGTAAATAAATGAATCCTCTTCAGGAGAAATSAGCCGAACTGAAAGTTTCGGCTGGTTTAGCTTCAGATCAAACCCTCCTGATGGATCTGATGTGTCTCTTGGAGGACGTCTGCTGTGAAACCCTGACAGGAAGTGGTTTGAAGCTCAGATCGGGTCTCATCAGTCAGCGGGGACACGCTAACAGCTCTCAGTCCTCCACGCTCGGAGCCGACAGGTGCTCGGCGTCGTCATTAATAACCTCCACAGAAGAAGAGCCGCCGTCGGCTCATAAACACAACGAGGAACAACAAACAGGAGTGGAGCGTTTTGTGGAYCTGCCATCTGCGCCGCCTCGATAACACACTCGTTGGGCTAATTGATTCCACAATAAAAGCCTCAGAAACAGAAAGCAGCTGAACGCTCAGATAAGCTGCCGATACTTAATCAGGCATCTGATTGGACAGCTAACCGAAGACGAGACGGACCCGACGGCGGTTTGAACGTCACAGAAACATAAACCTGCTGCTTCGGCTCCATCTAAACCTGGTTCCTCATCAGGTTCCTCCAAACTGTATAAACTGTTTGTTTTTCTTTTTTCTGTTTGTTTTCTTTTAATCTAACTTTGAGCTATTTTAAACTTTTATGAAAATATTCGGCTCATTCAGGAGATAGCTGCTGTGAATTTTGTTTTTTTGTAACTTTGAATTCAGTATTTGACTCAACAAATATTTCCCCAGAGAAAAAAAACATTCTGTTGCTTTTAGTTCAGCTTTGCTCATGTTGACTAAACTTTTGCTCCTTTTAGCTACTAGGTATTCTGCTACTTGTAGCTAGCCTTCTATTACATTTCCCTTATTTACTAGTCTTAACTATTCTTTTGCCATGCTTAGCGTATAGCTAATCTTGCAACTATGATCTAGCCTCCTTCTACATTTAGCTTTTAGTTATCCATTTACTAGTTTTAGCTACACATTTGTTGTGCTTAGCTCCTAGCTAACCTTGCTTCTACATCCTACCATTGTTTTACATTTAGCTTAGAGTTATAATTTTGCTAGTTTTTGCTAACCATTTGCTGTACTTAGCTTTTAGTTAACTGTGCTGCTGTGACTTAGCATTGTTCTCTGTTCATTATCTTTGGCTATTTTTCACTACCCTTTTGATATGTTTAGCTTTTCGCTATCCTTGCTACTATGAATCAAACTTGTATTATTGCTAGTTTTAGCTACCCTTTCACTGTGTTCAGCATTTAGCTAACCTTGCTCCTATGACCTAGCATTGTTTTACATTTAGCTTTGAGTTAATATTTCTGCTGTTCTTAGCTTTTAGCTAACCTGCTACTATCTAACATTGTTCTACATTTAGCTTTGCTATCATTTTGGTAGTTTTATTTAATGCGTCTATGTTAAGCTAACAGTGCTACTACATCTTGTCATTTTTATACCTTAATATTTTAGTTATCTTTTCTTAGTTTTAGCTAATGCTTTTGCTGTGCTAACTTTTTAGATTTTCTTTATACCATGGCCTAGCATTTTTCTACATTTAGCTCTAATTATCATTTTGCTAGTTTTTGCTACCCTATTGCTATGTTTAGATTTTAGCTAACTGTGCTATTGTGACTTAGCATTGTTCTACATTTAACTTTTAACTAGCATTTTGCTACTTTTAGCTTTGTACTATGTAGTGTCCAAGAGTGGGGAGCCTCTTCTCAGGAATGCACAGATGTGATGTCTCTTAGTCTCTAGCTTCAGAGCTCAGCACATATTACCATATTAGGAAGAAGGTATACCATGACAAAATTTACGGTGCATCTGTGGACTACACTATAAAGAGCCTTGTACGCCCCTGCTCTTGGCCTTCGTCTTCATCTTCTTACTTGGTGAATCATTTGGCATTGAAGGCCACAATTTGGTTTTTGGCTGTAATCTCCTGGACTGCAAAAATAAAGATTCTTGCTGTTCAACCAGCCTGTTTCAGAGTTCCTCTCTTCATTGAGCAGCAGCAGTTCCACTTCAAACCAGAAGACGTGGTATTTTCACCTCAACTAACATTTATTTTTTACTTTCAGCTTCTAGTTGGTTTTAGATTGAAACATTTTTTCCAACTGTTATTTTTATGATTGTTTCTAAAAATATGTTTGACAAATTTAAATATTGTTTAATGAAGTTTTTCTCATTAAATGAAGAAAATGAATTTGTTGTGTCCAACAGAAGTGACAGACTTTAGAGTAAATTTTATTGTCTCTGTGGTTCTTTCTGAGCAGGCTGTCAGTAACTGATGGACTTTGTGTCTCTGCAGTCCCCAGTGCTGCTCCTCAGAACATCTCCTTAGAGGTCGTCCTGTCCAGGGTGAGTTCAAATGTCTCCTTACTTCCTTCTCTGGTTCACTGTAGGACATTTGTCCTTTGGACTGTCCCCTGTTCAGGGGTCCTCCTCCATCTCTGTCTTTACTGTGTCCTCTGTCCTCACTCCAACTACCCCGTCCTCTCTAACTAAACCAATACACCCACTGTCCCTCTGTCACCATGAGGTTTAACTGGTTGTATTTCCTGGTGTCTCTCAGTTAATGTTAGTTTGAGTTATTAGTTTGTCTCCAGTGGTCTGGTCTTATTTTACTGATTGATGTTTGTCGTCGCATGAAAGCAGAAACACGTTGGAATAATGCCAGAAAAGTCTGCGTGTATGGTCGTAAATAAATGATTTAATTCTGAGCAACAGGCAAACAGGACTCAATCAGGAAGCTCTGTCGGCTTGTCGCTGAC